AAATGTTTACCATGCTACAGCCATGAGCTTCCTGACTGGGAACTACTACTTACCAGAACTGGAGGGGTGTTTGGTTCCTCATGATACTGACGAATTCTTTCTTCTCTTGTCTCCTGCAATAACGAGTGTAGATTTAGCTGCCCAGGCAGTAAGGTAGGATGTGGAGCTATGCAGGTAGCAGGGCACTGCGCAATTTCAAAATATTAAACAAACCAGGCACTTCCTGTCAAGCACAATGCTTTCATTAGACTAATGTATTGAAGGAAGTGGCAGGATTGACTTTAATAGATAGGTATTTTACCCTTCATCACTAGCAGCAATTGCTGTAGCTTGATCAAACAGAACTCAGTCCCAACCCTGAAAAGCCTTAAAACTCAATTCCACTCAATTTATCCAGCTTTTTTTTTTTTTTTTTTAGCGTTCTCTCTGTGTGCTCACCCTCGTAACAAGAGCACTGAGGAAGGTGGTGGAAGCAAATGCCTGACATGCCACCTTCATGAAAGAGGGTAGTGAACCATGGATTTCCACTGATTAGATATCTGCTTGTTTGTCCTCATGTAGGTATTACACTGAAGAATTTCCTTCTGTGAACAGCTCTGCCATGTTTTCTGAGGGTTTGCTGCTGAACTGAGCAACAGTAGTTAAAGAAATCAAACCAGAAGGATCTGTTGGTAAGGAAACACAGGAACACAGCAGGGACTTGGTACAGCACAGAACTTCCAGCCCCCTCTCAGAGAAACAGCAGAAGTTATTTATAGGGAAAAGACTGCCTGCTTATCTAATGACAAGCCAATGAGTACCTACCACTTCATCTAAATTCTAGAAGCACACCCTGATCCTCCATCTCTTCAGTGTCCTCTAATTCTTAATACTTCCTCTAGCCATGAAGAAATCTTGATTACGAGGAGGAAAGTAAAGTATTTGGGCTGTTAAAATATGCACCATAAAAACTATTCCCTGAGGAATTAGCTCCTGATGGGCTATCCAAGAATCAGCTCCTCCATACAGTGGAGATGTCAGTCTTTGTGCATGATAGTTAAAAGTGTTTTTCTTTCAGCTATACTAGTACCTGTGCTTGGTCAGTACTGGACATTACAGGGTGTGCTCTTTGCAGGGACACTAGTGCTTAGGTATTTGCGTGCAATCTCAAAATTTCCCTGTTCTGATGGTTCCTTCAGACCTTTAGATATTTAAGCCTCTTAATGTGTGTTTAAATTAGGTCTTCTCAAGCAGCAGGCAAGATAGACTATGGCAAGACTTTCCAGAAGCACAGTGCACTGCATCTTAACACTTCAAGTTTATCTCTCTCTTTCTGCCCCCGCCCCCCTGCCAATTCCATGCCAGGTATGAAGCAACAGTATTTCAGACATTGCACAGCTCCTGTTTGTGAAAACCACTTTGTTCCACCTCAGTAATACTGTTGCCAACTCCTCTTCCCACTCAAAGAAAAGCTTTAGGAGGGAGTAAAATGTTACTGCCTCACTGGCATTTCCAACTGCTCTAGGGAGCAGCTGTTGGGCATTCTATGGCTTTGTAAGGCCTCACGAATGCACGCTACTGTTACACCTCTGCACCCTGGTTACTGTGTTAGCTCTGGCATGCTTTACTTACACCCATGTGAGTGCTTTTAACATCTGGGTCCAGGTAGTGTGGGTTAATATTAAAAGGAACTAAGCCTAGGGCCTGCAGGGAAGGTGGATAAACAATTGGCATGTCGTTGGTAGTATTGATGCTGACAGTAGCAACGTTAGTTCCTGCACTGGATCCCATGTAAGGAATCCCATCCTGAAAAGACAAAAGCAATGATTAGTATGCAGTAATCACAACTAGGAACTGCATTTTATAGCATCTGCTATCAATCTCAGAGACTCAGCAATCAGGTCAGACTTGGTCCTTCTAGCTCATCTCGCTGCTAACTTTACAGGTGAAAAGCAGAACAAGAATACTTCAGGTTTTGAGGTGGGCAATAGTTTGTATACGTCATGGTTGTCAGAGAACGAGCTGTTGAATGTCCTGTGCCCACAACTCTCTGATCCCATCACAAGAGAGAACCAGTAAGGTTGTCAGTGCATATATTGGACTTTGCTATTAAGAGAAGACAGTCATCTCGACATTGCACTTATCTGAACTAGCTTTTCACTAGCTTCTGAAGAGAGTAGACCATCGGAAGCTGAGTACAACATTGCCACAGCATCAGCTTAACCAGTACGATGGCCAGCCAGTTTAGCGCTAGTTTATGTATTACTTCTATGTACATTCAAGTATAAGGATAATGCTGAACAATTTGTAGAAATAAGCTATCTTGAGAGAACTGGTGCTAATATAACCAAATAGCTATCTAGATTTCAGTGGGACTCTCACTTTCTGGCTGTTCTTTGCACAACAGGCATTAAATTTCTGCACTTTAAGACAGCCTAGCTAACCTTTCTTCTTGGCAGCTGGCTTTTTCAAACATACTGTGCTTGCATAAATCTGCCTGAAGTTTTTTGAAGTTCCACATTGCTAGGGAAACACCTTGCTTCTGCTCTCCTCCATGGATGAGTGTATCTTTGCTGTGCCTTATGAGATTCACCAGCCAGAATGGGGCTGCTGAACGGAAGGGCTCAATGGCACTCATACCTCTCAGTTCCAGTTCAAGGAGGTACGCCATTTTCAACGTCAACGAGACATTGTCTAAAAGGCCTGTATGGATCCAACTCTATTGCAGGTTTATTAGCAGACAACCTTGCGACTTGAACACATCTAGATCTATTAATAAGATACAAAGTGGACATCTTGAGCTGAAAAACAGGGTTTCTGAACACAGATTAAATCCTGCACTGCTCTCCATTGGTATTTTAAGTTGAGGGGCTTACTTCTGAGGTACTAAGCAGCACTGTACATCCCAAGATCTTGCAGTCCCACATCTGGGAAACTGCCTTAAAAAGACAGATTGCTGACCTTAGTCTTTTCAGGCTTCAGTGACTAATGATAGCCTTATTTGGCTACAGATTTCAGTTCACCAGGTTGCATGAGATAGCTCAATATTGGATATATATTAAAAGCAGAGATGTAGAATCAACTTGGATTTGTCTGAACAAAAGCTTGCGCGTGAGATCCTGCCATTCAGACTTGGCCTAAGTCCTGTAGTTTTTACCTCTAGAACTCTTTTCCTGATCTCCTGTATCAGACTGTTGTCGTAGAGAGCTTTCAGGAGACGGAATGTGTTCCCACCTCCTGCAGAAAGGGAGTCCAGCATTATTTAACCAGTTTGAATTGAAGCCTTTACAAGCTTTGAAGCCCTGGCAGGCTCAATGATTTCTATGCTCTATTCAGGGTAGTATCCCGTTTTGAGCAGCAGAAAACCAGAAGCTTCAGAAGAACGGTCATTGGGCAGTCCACGGGCTCATGCCCGAGTCCTCTGTATAACACTAACGCTGGCTGTTTGAAAGCAGACACTGTTCTAATACCCAGGAGCATGGTATTAGGACTATGCTGAATTTGAGCACAGTAGCCCTGAATCTTCTTAGACTTGATATAGTGATGATGCAGCTGTGATGATCACATTTTTAATGCTGAAATACTATTTACATTAATAATTTGAAACTTACTGGAGACAAAGTTCCATCAATAAATCTCTCTTACTTCCCTCCCCACCACTAAATTTAGGGTCTTACTGTTCCCATTTAAAGTACTGTTTTCTGTAGTTTCTAATAATTGCTAGGCCCAACTTTTTCATCGTCTTTACAGCTCTGAGCAGGATTAATCCAGTGCCCTATATAAACCCTTATCAGGGAGCATGAAGTAAAACTTACCGATAAATATTGCTTCAGATTTCCTTACAGCTTCCACTGGATCACAAGATTCATGAATGCTGTCCAGTCCATAACCTTAAATGAAAAAGTATTTACCTTTGCCACTTCGGTTTGGTGAAGAACATGGCATGTTCAGTCCCTCCCTGCCTCCCCGCCCCGATCCCATGCCAACTGTCTTGCCAGACAACCAGGGAAATTTCAGAGAACGGTACAATGTAAAATGGAGTATACATCCTATGTTAGTGCAGGGCTTCTGCATCCAGCTCTACCAAAGGAAATGTTTGCTTTACAGATATACATGCTCAGTGCCTAAGAGCAGACCATTTCACTCAGCGGGTGCAGGCTGAGGCACAAAGTCCTGCTGAGCATTGCTGGCTAACTAGAGAGGAAGAGAAGGAAAAAGTTGTCAGTCTTCAGCTTGGCTGTGACTCTGCAGGATGTGCCATCATTGCTTGAGCATTACCAGTGTAAATATCTGATCTGAGTATTTTTTTTGTAATAGTTAAAATGTCTGGCTTTGACAGATTTGCCTTGCTGGAGTTCATTGAGTACAGGAAGTGCCAGGAGAGCCCAAGAACATGGACATTTGATAGCAGCAATCTTTCTGCAAGACAAGGAGCAAAGCCTGCTGCCTAGGGAAGTGAGTACTGATTGCTACTACAGTAACAGGTCCAAAGGTATCCTGAACACTGATAGATATTAGGTGCAGGTGTTGCTGTAGGCTGCTCTAGAAAGACCTTTGCTTAAGGCAAAGATCAGTTGCTGCTGCAGTATCTGGCTAGTTGAAGCGCATTATAGTAATGGTCTTCACTTAACACCAGTAGTTGCATGGCTTGAGCAGAGTTTTAAGAGGTATGGAAGAAACGTTCCCCCATGTGATTAAGGAGTATAAAAAGATGCCACTTAGTATTCAGGAACAAGAACTTCCTCCCTGAAGTGGCCAGAAGCGTTTGCAACAAGCTTTCTTCCGGAGGCCTCTCAAGCATCTACTTCTAGGTAGAAGTTAGCAAACGGCTCCCTGCTGCTCTCGCCCCCGTGGCTGACCCTAAGGCAAGGGCGTGCAGCAGAGCTTGCCCAACCCCTCTCCACCGCTCTCCGCGCACACCCCCACCCCTTCGCACCCCAGTAAGACAGACCCGTGCAGAGCTGCCGGCCCAGAGGCGTTCACCGCTTCACCCCCTCCCACAGCAGCGCCTTGCGAGTGCGCGCCCTCTGACACAGGCTTTCAAACTTCTCCCTCGCGGTCCGGGCGTAGGCATCTCGGTCGTGCAGGGCGTAAGGAACGAACAGCACCCGCTTCACTTTCCTGGGAGGAGAGAGGGGAAAGAGCGCTCAGAGGCGGGGACGGCCCGGGGCAGGCTCCCGCAGCCCCTGCGCGGCGCTTACTCCCCGAGGAAGCTCTTGATGTGCTGCTGGCAGTGGCCCAGGTACCCCCCTCCGTGCAGGGTGGAGTTGGAGAC